AAAATCCGAAACTAGTTTCGGATTAGAGCTTTCCGAAACTAGTTTCGGGTAGGTTTCGTTTCGATTACCAACTCTAAACAAAAACAGAATAACTTTGGAAAATTTTAAATCATCGTCGACAAAAGTTTTTTTTTATATGGCGTTGGATCACAAAGTATGTTTTTACATAGATCTGTGTAAAATTTTTATATTAAGTTATGCAAACCTTATGTGATTTACATAATAAGTTAAATTGAATATTAAAGCTAAAATTAGATTTTAAAATTTAAATTAGAGGTTTGGTGATTACCATAGTCACTTTTGAGAAATGGCTAAAGTAAATTAAATTATTTTATGTAGATATAAATATTTAAAATTACTTCGTCTCACCCACTGATGATATCACCAGTAATATACAATAATCAAAATCGAACTCAAAATCGATTTTTTTTTATAACAGATTAATAAAGTTTTATACTATATTGTATACTAGTGATAATCATCAGTAGCAATAGAAGTAAATCTCATTTATAATTATATAAATATTAAATAAAATCAATAGGATTAAATAACAGTTTTGCTAGTAAAATTTAGGTTAGGGAGCCTAAACTATAGTAAAGATATTTTAGTTAAGGAGAGGTTTTTTGGGACGCTGAACATTTTTACTTAGTACCCCGATATGTGTTGGCTAGTAGAGTTTGAAATATAGTAACTATGGAGTTGAAAGCCACTGACTGGTTTGATTTAGTAAAACTGAATAAAATTATATGTAAAGATATTGGTCTAAGGTGAGGTTTTCTAGGGAGCTGAAAATTTTTGCTTAGTACCCCGATATGTGCTAGCTAATACGATTTGAGATGTGTTGAAACACTGGTTTGATTTAGAAAGTCGAATAAAATATTAAATAAATATTATATCATGTAACATATAAAATTTATAAGTCTACATTGGGTTTTTAAAAATTATACGTATAATATTTATATAACTTATAAAAAATATATACTTTGCGATGTGGCTAAGTCTACAAAACTTGCTCGCATGATTTATTATTTATAATTTTTTTTTTTTGTGCTGTTTAAATATTTATTCACTATTTCAATATTTTACGTTGGCTTTGCTGGCTAACTCTACAGAACTTGCTCGCATCATTTATAATATTTCAATGTTTTACACTGACTTTGCTGACTGAGTCTACAAAACTTGCTCGCACCATTAATTATTTATAAAAAATTTCTTGTGCTGTTTAAATAATTGTCTTTTGTGTGCTACTGCACAATAACTCAATTGAAAATTTTATTTGTTGGAGTGTAGTGTAGAACTTATAATAGATAAGTGAATGCAGAAAACGTCCTAGGTTCCGCTCACATGATCACCGTTGAGAATTATTACACAAAGCGTTTATTACAGAACTTACTAAAAGTAACTAAATACGCTGGAGAATCGAACTAACTAATACTTTACAGACGCATCTAGTGTTCCGCATGAATCAGACCGGTGTTACGTCTAATTTTATTTTTTTATTTTATTTATTTTTTTTCGCTTTCTTTGTTATTATCTTTATATGGTTAGTATATACATATTTTATTCTATCAAATTTCCTGTTCGGGTAAAACTTCAATGGCTCATTGTAAAGGGAATTAACCCTCGGTAAGGGTTAAGGATCCTTGGTAAGGGTTAAAGAATCATCGATAAGGGTATTAATGAGGGTTTAAAGCACTGTTGAAAGTTAAAGGTATAAAAGGGATTGAATTTTGACTTAAGAAAGTTAGTGAACGTTCGGTACATTTAGTTTGTTTGTAAGCAAATCTGTATTAAATACCCTTCCCTATAATAAATATAATAAAGAGAAACCGTATAAATTATGATAATGTGTGTTAATTCAATGATTTAAACTATTCAACCTCAATCGATATATTGTTCACGATCGAAGCTAAATTGGTTCAAGTTCGTTAAAGCTCTCCCCGGATCGTATCACCGGGCGGAAATTTTTTACAGCTGTTTTCACAATTCTGGCAAAAATTAACTGACAGAATATTATATTTGCCGATTATCCACTACTACTACAGTATAAAGATCATGATCCGGTCTGAAGAACGAATCGGATCCAAAATTTGGATCCGGTCCGGGGCGGATCTCAATACGGATCCGTATCGCTCAATTATGAGTCCGAACCCGGTCCGCCCACAGATCCAGAAAGACGGGTGGGCGGTCCCGGATCTTTTGCGGAACACATGCATCTAGCATAGCGGGCTTGCGTTCTGATTGGCTAGAAGATCTGAATGTTACACTGATAATCTTTACATGAAAACTAAAAAAATCTTAAAATATATGTCTCATTTTATAAACTGTAAAAGTAATCCGGTAATCCACGAAGTAACTCGAAAGTTAGATGAGAGGTATGTGTAATCCACGAAGTAACTCGAAAGTTAGATGAGAGGTATGTTTAAACGTTTGTGTTTAGTCTTCAGGTGCAATAAATCAATCAAACTCAGCAATTTAGTTAATTTAATCACAGCTATAATTATTTTTATACATATTAATTTTTTTATTCGTAACGATTTAGTTAAAGTTTAGAATTTCGATAAATTTCAATTAGCCAATAAAATTTTTTCTATATCACAGGAAGATCTACCAAAATTGGCCAATCACAATGAAATCCCACTATGCTCATGCATCTGATTCCCGAAATAGTTTTTCATCTCCAAGATCTTTTGAATTGTACTAAACGTTCACCATTATTAGAATTCATATGGAGGAACAAAAAGCGAATATTTCGAGAAGCATTTATATCACGATTCCAGAGAATCTAAAATGAAATGCATTAAATAGTGTTAAAACATTTATCATACGCCTGTGCGACTTATATGGGCTGTCTGCTAGGAAAGTCACTAGTAATTTTCATAGCAAATAAATTATATGTTATTTCCATCGTAGGCGGCGCCAGCGAATAGTTCCATAAAATTCAAGACGATAAGTGAGTATATATAAACTTGGAACTGGATAATCTTGGGCAAGAATGTCTAATTATATAATTAATATACTAACATACGCTTAGCCAATTTTATTGTATAACTTAAAAGCAAAAAAATGAATAAATAAAATACTAAAATAAATAACGATACTAACTGCGAATGATGCCTTCTATATTCCGATTATTTTTAACTCATGTTTCTTTTTTCACTAATCCAGCTATTGAATATCACTCTTTTGTGCTACAAGAAACTGACCTCCCTCCCATTAATCATCTTCATTGTCTCAGTAGAATACCTAATAGTTTTTAGCTTGTCAAGATTTCTCTCGCACTAGAATGGCCTTCGTTCCTTTTATAGTGATACCAACGTCACGACAGACTTCTTTCAGGTCACTATTCGAAAGGCTTATGTCTGGCATAATTTTGAAAAATCTTTTACCTCTTGTTCAAAAACTGGATTTTGTCTGCTTCAACTTGGTTCCAAAAATAATCTACAGCTCGGGTTATCTGCTTCTAAATAATTAAAATTTAAATATTGTAAGTTTAAATTCTAATAAGCAACAAAAATTGTACAATATAATCTTGCAACTTATTTATGAAAGTTTGGAATATATTCTTAGCGTTATAAATACTATTTTGAGGCTCATAATAAAGTACAGCATAGATACCTAGTAATGAATACTTTTTTATAATGATATTGAAAGTTCAGAGTAGTATTATAAATACTCTTTCGCAAATCATCATAAAAGTACAGCGTAGATGCCAGTATTGAATACATTTCCAGCACTAAATCCTAGACAAACTTCCATGAATTATCCTAAAAATTCTAAGTATATTTCTATGATATTATTACGCTTACTTTAAAAACCTCCTCACTGTTGCAAAATTTTGCCCTTTGTTGCCACACATCGGGATCTAAATCAATTTGTTGAAGTAATGTACGATATAAACGGTGATCATAATCCCGGTTTGTTAATTCTCCCTTATTTTTCAAGTGTTTTAAAAAGTTTAGAAGACTCCATCTGTCAGAATTCAAAAAATATCCATAGTATAATTCGTTCTTGTAGTTTGGTTCTTGTTTAGTTTTCTTGATTGCGACTTCATTTTGTGGAAGTTCTTTTAGAGGTGGCCTAGAAGTAAGTTGTTCGTCTTGTGTTTCTTCAATTTCATCCCACGATCTTTTTGAAAAGTTTTCACATTGCGGTTGTTCTGGTCGTTTATAGGAAGAAATAAAAGGCATTTTGGTTATACAAGAATAAGAACGCTTTTAAGATAAAAATGGTCGCAAGAATAAGCTGTTTGGAAGAATAAAACGATCTTAAGAATAAGAAATGTTTACTGGAATGATATGACACGTGTGACACGAGTTTACAACGCACCCCTTGAATATGTACCATGTTTGTGGCGCAGATTTACTGAACTACGAATCAGATTTCAAGATCAGGTGTAACAGGACCCGGATAATCAGCGTACACTTATTTGCGCCGGTGATACAAACCAAATAAGGAAATTTTCTTATGAAGATCGCAAGATCAGGTGTAAC